TTGGCCCAGTCTTGGTAAAGTTACAAGCACTGTACACAGAAAGATGTATATGGGATATATCTATCTAGTTCGGATAGAATCATAGCTCGCTATGAGAATTAGCACCAACAGTATATTAGCATGCTGTGTGGCTACAAAATATTACATTTTGAGAGTAAAACACTCTGCTTAGAATTGTATGTAGGGAAAATACCAGAAGAGCAAATGATAGAATGAATAAATAAGAGAAGATGATAGAAGGCAAACAAGGAATAATAAGAGGAAAGATAATAGAAGGGAAACAAAGAATGGAAAAAAAGAATAAGATAAGAGGAGATGAAGGAAGGCAAACAAGGAAGAAGGTAAGAAAAGGTGATCGAAGGAAAATACAGAATAATGAGAGGAAAGAGAGAAGAAAAACAATGAATAAGATAAGAGAAGATGATCAATAGAAGGAAAATATAGAATAATAAGAGGAAAGAGAGAAGAAAAACAAGGAATAAGAAAAGAGAAGATGATCAAAGTTGTTTAAAGGGGTCAAATAGCTCGCTATGAGAATTAGCACTAAGAGTATATTAGCATGCTGTGTGGTTACAAAATATTACATTTTGAGAGTAAAACAGTGTACAAATTGAAATTACATTTATTGAGTAACTATGTCGACAATTAACGTAAAAATTATATCACCAGAAATGATATTAGGTAATAATTTGTCAATTGTTATTGATAACGTGCAATATCTTTTTGTTTTTGTTGTTTGATTATTCAATATAAATGTCAGCATTTCACATTCTCTCTCCCCCCCCCCCACCCCCCCCCCCCCCCCCCTCCTCTCTTCTATTTTTCTTTTTCTTTACACCAAATATCATTTTCCCCTATATAACATATAACTTTCTAATTCTTTCTCTGTTTTTCTCTGTTTTGTTGTTTTTCTCGTTCCAGTTTGCTTTTTCCCTCTCGATTCCTTTGTATTTATTTTCATCCTCTCCTTTTCAAATTTCAAGCTATCCCTTTTGTAAATATTTCCCCCATATTTAATCATGTGTAGTTTTGATAACTTTGAAACATTTGTTAAAAGTGAAACATTGATGGATTATTTTATATGGGGACCTTGCTCTTACAAACCCAGCTTTTCTAAGGTCTCCACTTTCTTTCATTTGGATTATATATCGACTTAAAATTGCACTTAAATTGTTTTTTCTTATGCTGTTTTTTGTTCTATTATTATATGTAAAAATGTTATGAAAGAAAGAAATAAAATGAACCTTGAACCTTGAACAAAACTGGTTTCTATGAGAGTATACATGTATACATATGTTGCATACAGCATCTCCTAAGTATAGTGGCCTTGCAGGCCTGTTGCCATGACCACCGGTCATGGAATGTGGGTTGAATTAAAGGGGTCATAGCTCGCTATGGGAATTGGCACAAACAGTATATTAGCATGCTGTGTGGCTACAAAATATTACATTTTGAGAGTAAAACACTCTGCTTAGAGGCTTACATCGAAAGGGTGCGGTGCGGTGCGGTGCGGCGCGGTGTGGTGAGTTCAACGCACCCATTCGATAAAAGGCCCCCCGCTTTTCTCGAAAGGGTGCGTTGAGAACGGAGGACCGTCTTAGCACACCCTTTCGAGAAAAGAGGGGGGCCTTTTCTCGAAAGAGTGCGTCGACTAGTCTTTCACATCAGTCGTTTGAAATGTTTAAGGAATAGAAATGTCGTTTTATAAATTGAAATAATAAAAATAGAAACTACTTTTTGCGTAGTTGAAGATCAGGCATGTATAAGAATTAAATCACTAAATAAAAAGAAACACAATAAAATAAGATGGTTCCTTGCATGGGTTTGTGGCACTCTGTGCTGATCCTATAAAAGCCCCAGCCCCCCCCCCCCTCTCTGTCTCTCAGGCGCGGATGTAAGGGGGGGTCGAGCAGGCCTTGCCCCCCCCCCCCTCGCCCCGCAAAAAGAGAGAGAGAGAGAAGGAAAAGAAGGGAAAGGGAAAACGGAGAGAAATTAAATGGAAAGAAAGAAAAAAAGAAAAGGGGGAAGAATGAGACCAGAGGCGAAAGGGTCTTGCGTCTCAGACTGTTGCCTCCCCCCCCCCCCCATAAAACAAATAAGAGAGAAGGAAGGAAGAAGGAAAGGGAAAGAAAACAGGAAAAGAACAGATAAAGGGAAAGAAAATGAGAGGGAAAAGAAAAGAAAAGAAGGGGGATAACAGTTACACTTTTCCCGCTAACAAGTTGTGGGTCGGGGGGGGGGGCAAATGGCCCTTGCCTCCCCCCCCCCCCCCCCCGCCCCGGCTAAAAGAAAGAGAGAAGGAAGGAAAAAGGAAAGAGGAGAGCGAGAAGGGAACAAAAAAGATGAAGAAGAAAAGAAAAGGGTGAAAAGAAGGGGAGATCATTAACGGTTAATCCCGCCAACAACGTGTGGATCGGGGTGAGGGATGGCATGTTGAGCCTTCTGTGAAAACTTGAAAAGTATTCTTTTTGTTTCTTCTATTGTTTTAGTGTCTAAATCTGAGAAAAGCATTGCTCGTTCAATGATAAAAACTAATGTAAGCAAGCGTCTTTTATACTCTACGGGAGGACCGGCGCAGCGGTCAAAAATTCGATCGATAATTCGAACAATGACGCATAATGCCTATTGGCCGACGCACACGGTGCTCAACCAATCAACGGGCCGCTTTCTCGGCCCGTCTGCTGAATGGTGAATTTTCGACACTACATCCGCAATGAGTAATATATTTAGCATTATTCTAGTAATGTACTCAACATTAAGCCTTCCCTATCTTACTTATTGTGTTCTTGCTTGGGGTAACTGTCTTAAAACTAATCTTGAAAGTTTATCCTTGATTCAAAAGAGAATCTTAAGAATTATTTGTAACGTTAGCTTTCGTACGCACACTAATCCGCTTTTTTATACACATAGAATTTTAAAGATGCAAGATATCTATCACCTTTAACTGGGTTCTCTAATGTATGACTTCGATTCTGGTGTCCTTCCACAGGCTCTTGTCAGCATTAAAAAAAAATAGTCAAGTTCATGACCATGCTACACGAAATGCCTCTGCATTTCACTTATCCCAAGTAAGGACAAAGTTTACTTGTAATACTTTGTTTTTTACTGGACCTAGGTTTTGGAACTATCTAGGCTCTAGCGTTAAGCAATCTGTTAGTCTCTCTTCATTTAGGTTTATCTTCTCGATAAATACTGTGACTCATAGAGAATTTCATTTTTGTAATTAATTTGGTGCCAAATTATATTATGTATTACTATAAATGTAAAATTTCTTCTTGATATTAATATGTGTCTAACTGAATATTTTCAGATTGTCAACCTTTTATTCCCTCCCCCTGTTGTCTTGTGCCCATTGTGTGCTGTGCCTATTGTCGATGTGCTGTAGTCTTTTATTATTTCTCATATTTTCTCTTTTCTCCCGTGTTGTCTAGTCTCGTCTCTCTTTTTTCTTCTTGTTTCTTATACCACCTTTTCCCTATTGTATTCTTAGGTAGTCACAAATATGTACTCCCATCATATGACCCAGAGGGGACCCTTAAACTTACAAGCTCTGCTTTAATACCAGGGTCTCTTCGTCCTTCTTTTAGTTAACTCTGTTTTTAACATTGCCACAATTTGTTTTTTCGCATTGTAAATGTGTAATGATCTAATGTTATGCTCTATGTGACATTTGAAAGAAAGACGAATAAATATCTTATCTTATTTATCGTACCTATTACTCTGGAGTAGATCAACTTTGTGTTAGAGACTTTCGTACACCCAAAATTAATTGACTTCTTCATGGCTGCCATGGCTTGCCTTTTCTTGGAAACTGTGTCATTGAATTTACCAGGTGATTTCTGTTGAAACTCATAAATCTGTCTAGTACCGATGTCAACTGCTTTATCCACTTTCACTGATGGTGGAGCAATGCATTCAGTGGCAACATTGATAATGTTATCTGGGTGCTGATCTGGATCCATCGGATTGATGCTAACTTCCAATTTCCTTCGCAACCCTAATTCTCTGCAGCGTTGTCTGCAGCTATTCGTGCTGTGGATTCTTCCTTGTGAGTTTTTTTTTTAAAGAGTTTGACGACTTTGTCATTTTCTCTTAAAGTTGCAACATCTTTCACTATAGCTGACCACATTCTATGCAAACTATATGAAGAAGTTAAGTTTTCTGAAAAAGGCTATTCTCTGCATGATTCTACAAGTTTTCTGATGATGAAATAAAACACCCTGATTTTGTTCATTTCTTAAGAACTAATGAAAGTGGATGGATGTTGCATGATTGTATCAATGATGTATAGAAAATACAAACTTAGGCGTTGATTACAGTAATGGTCATATAAAATTGACATTTCAATTTTGTAACCTGATGGCTCGAAGGCAGCATGTAAATTTCCTTGAAACGCTGACTAAAATATGTTATTGTTCACTTGATGAAACAAACACGAAACAACATTGCAAAAAAAAACTTGGAATATACCTGGTAAATAGTGCACCTATTTCTAAGAACAAGATCTAAATTATTATACATCTTATAAAAAGAGCGTTTTATCCCAAATCATTTGGTATCATTTTTGTGTGGTATGTGTTCACGTTTGGATGAACAGGATCGAAGGCATATATTGTTTGCGAGAGTCCAAAAATCGACTTGCGCCAAAGTGATGCCTACAGTATGTGATATGTTGGGATTAAGGTGAGAGAATGAATTGAATGTATGAAATGAGATGCATTATACCGGTATATGCTTTTTGCAGAAGCAAAGTCACACACACACACACGCACGCGCGCACAAATGTTCGTTGATATTTGATATTATGTGGCATTGGTAATTGTGTTAGGGATGTTATTTGGATCTACAATGACCGAATTAATACCCAAATCCCAGTTGTTATTTTCAGGCATCACTGACAGGGAAGTGAGTTGACTTCTTTAGACTCCATTCAGCTTCTTCAATCTTGCCTAGATCAAGCTCGTTTTGGCCTGCTTGTTGACAGCGTACGCGCTGAAAGGTCACCTTATGCCCTTGCTTGGTAGTATCCTTAGGCTTGCTGTAATCAGGATCACCTTTAGCAAGGATCTCTTCCAGGTTTTCATGGGCAGCAAGAGCCTCACCTCGAGAGGTACCTTCACTCCATTCCCAACCAAATCACCTACATCTTCAATCTGACCCATCTCTAACTTATTCTCATCTTTCATGCCCTGAAGTTCTTTATTCATTCCATTCAAACGGCTCTTACAATCCTCGACGAGGATGTCCCTCCTCTCTTTCAGTTGCTGGATCGATTCCTCGCAAGCCTGGCTGATTTCGTCGGTCAGCTGCTCCTGGACGACATGAAGCTTTGCTTGTTGTTTCTCAATGAAGCTGATGTAGTCGTCCACCTTGCCTTTTTTTGCATCAACCTTGTTTTGTAACTCACGGATCTTCTCCTTCTGCTGATCTTCATGTTCCATTCCCTCCAGAATATTGTGGCCAGCCTTAGTGTGTTCCATCATCCCGCATCGGAAGCAGACATACTTCTTACATTCGACGCAGAAACATTCTTCGACCTCCGACCGATGCTTCTTGCACTTGCGTCGATGTTTGGTCGTGACCTTGCCTGAGATGATGTCATCCACCTTGACCACATCGTGACCGGCGAACTTGTCCCACTTGGCGTGGGTCTTGTAGCAGTCGACGCACATGAAGTCGTCACACTCTTGGCAGTAGGTCGCAGCTAGGGGCTTGTCCTTGCAGATGGTGCAGATCTGACTCTGGTTCTTGATATCCTCGACCATAGCCTGTATAGGAATATTGATTTGAAGGTTGCTGACATCTCTACTTGGAACAGCCGTGGACTTGCGACAGACTGGGCAGGAGATCTTAGCGATTTCTTGCAGAGGATCGAAAAATCGAGAAATGCATCCCTTACAGAAGGTGTGCGAGCAGGCCAGCAGCGTTGATTCCTTGTAGATGTTCAGGCACATGGGGCACTGAAGATTCTGTAAAAGGAAGTTGTTGATTCGAGCCGCCATTCTAGTGTTTCACCTGTAGGAAGAAAAGGCATGTAGGAAGAAAAGGCAGTTCATCACGAAAAAGGCTAATAAAGTAATGGCTCGATTGAAAGGAATCTTAATTAGAATTAATTAAATGCCTTTACCATGAAGTTTGTCAATTTCAGATAGATTTGGGCAAATCTCTGGATGAAGATGCTTACTGTTTTCAGAATGCATTGACTGTTCTTCGCTTCTCTACTCTCTAAATTTAGAGGTGTGGTGAAAATTCAAACTAAAAATAATGGAATCGACTCTCAAATGAGTTTTTCAGCCACTGAAGTTTTGGATTGGATTTCAAGTCCTCTACATTCAGAAAGTCGGATTCTCCCTCTCTCACACTACGTTCAGACTACCGAAATTCATCACATAGCTAAACGATGAGTAATTAGACTTTAGTAGTTTGATGTTGAGTAATCGAAATGCTATGTTTCTATGTGCAAATTTTTCCCCAACTCCTTTGTTCTTTTCCCTGACCTGCATGGTTAAAAAAGTATAGTATAGTTTTCTCCCACTAATCCAATCAAATCTGTACAATATCTTTTCCTGTTGTGCTTATGAGTGCAATGTAACGTACCTAACCTAGCCTATCTTATCCTAACCTAAACTATCATATTCTTAATCTTATTATACTATCTTACTTATTACCATATACAGCCATTCATATGAATACAATTTCTTATACAGCCATGTATACCCTTTAGATTAACGATGTGTTTAGTGAAAGCACAGTAAATCGACCAACCCCAAACCATGCTACTAAAAATGCATAAATATTTACAGTTTTGTTCGGCATAAACTCTTTGGCAAATTTTACCCAACCATTGGTTCAATACATCCGATGCCCATTTGCCATTTTTTTTCGCCAAGTACAGTACTTGGAGAATATGCTTTTTGTAATGCTTAACTTTAATTTAACAACGTTTTACCTATTGGATACCTTTATGGTTTGGGAGGATGACCCAAATCTGTTGAGCAAGATTTAACCAGCATTGATTAATCAGTAAAACATTTGGCAATGTGCATATTGCTAAGCAACCACAACTGATATCGACTGACTAACGTCGAATATTGTCTTTATCCAATGTTTGGGGGGTAGTTTAACCTCGCAATAGATTGGATAAATTGTCACTGTTATATTTTGAACAACTTTTACTTGCCCATCAAACTTGACCAACTTGATAAAAAGAAATAGAGGTATTAGGCAACCCTTCCCCAACCCTTGTGTATCGTGTACTATTGGTAAATATACCCAATTATTAGGTATAGATAACTGCCACACATTGATCAAGGTCTCTTTCGCAGAACTGGGTTAAAATAGCTTTAATATCGGTAATTTTTAACCAACCGATGTTTATATCTGAAGGCTTCCTTGCGTAATAATTTGTAAATACATTTCGGCTTGCACCCAGTGAATAAAGATCCCGTGCTCGATCTTGTAAAAAACAACAACAGAGATTGACCAACTTAATTTCGCCAAAATGTTAAGAGTGTGTAAATTGTAGGTTAGGAAGCAATTTCACGATTGATACAATCAGTGTAGTATTTATTTTTGACTGATAACCCTTAAAAAGAAGGGGAACAATAAAAGGGATACGCATCTGCCAATGTAACAAAGTGTGGTACTACTTCCATTATATTGACATTTTGTCTTTCCTTTAATAATCCTCAATTTCTAAAAGCGCTTTAGCAACTCTCACAAACACACGCATAATATAGTTTATTTGTTTAATGATTTATATACCATAGTTTAGTCGCTACTATTTTCGAAAAATCGACTCAAAGTCAATTTCAATACCCTATAATATTCTGGTTACTTAATACGTCATTTTCATTTTCGCACATTTCAAAAGGTGACAGACAAGGCTATTGAAATAGTCTTTGGTTGATTTTATGAAGTAGTTGCTATCATACATACACAATAATGTTCAATATCAAAATATGTACTAAAAGCATGTTGGTATAATTACAGTAAAAGAAACTCATTTATATGCCCTTCCCCACCCCCAAAACACGAAACAACAACAACACTATAATTTATATGGACGTAATTAATATCATATATATTACATAAATGACACAAATAATGGGGCACAAATTGAGGTATGTTTCATTCAAAGATGATCATAGTTGTTGTGGTGGTGGTGGGGGTGGTGATTTCATACCGCCTTATGCGTAAACTAAAGTTCATCCATTTTGAACATTGCAACACATTAAGTTGTCGCGCTCTCCATGACAAGATAAGAATACTTCTCGCGCAACGAAATCATGAATATCATCATCACTAAGTGTTTCCATCATATAATCCTGCTTTCAACTCCTTTATTTATAGTTTTTCGAATCTTTTTTTCTAATTGTATAAAGTTAAACAGTGCGTATACAAATTAAACCACTGATAAATTCAATAGTAACAGTGCATATCGGATTGTACAGAGATTACCGTCTTACCAAGGATGGCTGTATATTCTGCAGAAATCTTGTACTGTATATGGATGTTTCGAAATGCAGGAAGTGAATGTGCCAATTATCAAACTGTATACATTGATGAGCTCTTCCGAAATATACAGTGGCAACCTTCAGTCTGCAAAACACACACGAAGACGAAATCACTTATCCATAAGTCAAAGGGCAGACAAAATAAACAGATGCGCTAATAAAAATAAGAATATCGTGTGATTCGATGTTCATTATTATCATTTCAATGTTCAACCAAGGATGTGTACTTTAAGTAGTAAACTGCGAGAATTTAAGTTCAAACTATTGCATAATATTTTATATACAAATCATCATTTACATAGATTCAGGTTCCATGAAAATGGGTTGTGCTCATGTTGCAAACATTTTGAAGAAACTTATCAACATGTATTCTTTGAATGTAATATAATGAAGGAAGTCTGGGGGAAATATGGAGATAGACTTAATTTACCCATTCTGAAGAAATTATCCTGGAAGGAAATTCATATAGGAATAGATGACACTACTTTTAAAACAGAGCAATTATTGAACCACATTTTGATTTTGATTAAATATATGATTTTCCACAGTAGAGAGAAGGGAAACGCTCCAAAAGCAAAAGAAATAGAATATAGATTGTTGGAAAATAGAAATGAAGAGAAAAAACTTTCATTGGAAAGAGACACACTTTCAATTCATTTAAGGAAATGGGAAGCTTTGGAAAGTTTAGAATAAATGTTTTCAGTTTTTAATTTTCTCAATATTCAACTTCCAGACCTTCCTCTCTTCTCTACTTTTTTTTTCTTCTTTGTTTTTCTCTTCTTCTTCGTTTTCTTTTACTTTTGTTTGTTTGTTCGTTCTATGTTGGTGTGTGTTTTGTATACTGTTGTACTTGTTATGTTTTTAAATGGTGTGTGGGGCGGGGGGTAGTAGGTGTTTTCTAGCTCTTTCTCTTTATATATATATATATATATATAATTCTAAAGGAAATTGAAGAGGAATATAGGTTAACAGAATATTGTGGAAAAGAAATAATTTGAGATTTATAATCAAACTGGTCGAGAAAATAGGTTTTTTTTGGTGAAAATATAATTTTGTTTATTTGAATATTTTTCATCTGTAAATGTGTAACTTTTGTATGTAAATGTAAAAGTTCATTGGCAAATTTATTAAGACCTATGTTAAAATTATTTTGTTATTTTGAATAAAATGTTATAAATAATGTACAATTTTTCTTTATGAGAGAAATGAATAAAAACCTATGAAAACAAAAAATCATTAAATCCGGGGGAGGGGGGTACTCAGATTTGGTTTGGACGGGGGTGTGCCGCTCAAGTCTCGAAATCCCTACACATTTTTAAAGGTCATTTGGGGGATTTTTTTTTCTTTAAAACCCATTTTTAATGAATATAAATGAATAAAGTGACTTATAACCAAAAAACACTAACAGTATAATTGAATACCCCCATCCATCATACACTCCATTATTAAATCACATCATTGCCTTTTATCATATCACAATTCGACCAGGCGTAAGTTTTCAATCTCATCTTTTCATTCCCTACCCCCTTATCTTATTAAATGACAAACAATATATTGCTACATACAAATAAATTTACATACATCTTTCAAGCTTTGTCTAATCATTTTGCTTACACTTTAATGAATGGAAATCTACACTTTGTACATTTTGAGTAATGGCAAATTCATTTAATGGTTACAATTTTCAATGGCACAAATGAAAGTACTGCTAAGTGACAACCGCGATCCTACAAATATTCAAACAATGTATATATCATATATTATGCATATCGTATATTCTCAAATGAAATCAAATAAATCAGACAAAATTTTAGAAGTTTAGTTCAAAGACTTCTTTCTTTAAAATATGGTATTCATGTATCGTTAAATTTGAGCTACTGTTCACGGCCTTGCTGAAAAATCAGTTTCTAGATAAGATAAGGTTTAACCATGATTAAATAGATGCAATACAAATACAAAATACAATGGTCCTCGCAGTACATCGATATCATATACATAATATAATCCATCTACTCATTGTAACAATACATTGCTTTTGTCTAATACAAGATCATTCTCCACTCGCTGACTCAAAATGTAATTTTATATATTATATTGTGCCTTCTCATGCTTATCTCCTTTCTCTTTCCTTATCTTCTTCTCAACCTCACATGCAGCTCATCATTTAGTATTATTTTCTGTCCCCCCGATCGCTCACTTCTTTTTGGAATTGTCTACTCTTTGTATTATGACCATGTTCTTCTATCTTTGTCGTGTAAAGCATTGTCTTGTCCCTTTCTCGTCTCTGTTGGCACCCTCTTTTTCTTTCCCCTATTTTGTAGTTCCTTTTGTAGTTACGGATTAGTTAATTTAATCACTCATTATTCCTAAGTATCATTTAAGGTGTTCACACTTGTACAAGCATTGCTTTTTAGCGGACCCCTCTGTTTCCAACATGTATTTCTTACATTTGTTTTAATTGCTTATAATTGATTTGTAATGTTTTGTTGGAAACATGAATGAATTGAAATTGAAATAGAAATTGAAATTGAAATTGAAATTGAAATTGAAATTGAAATTGAAAATACAATACATATAATCAACGACTGATTTTCATCATATAGAAATAACAGATCTACCCTTACCAATAACAGCGGCAACAACAAATTCTTAGTTTAATTACAAATCATAAATTTTATGGGTACAACTGATTCACTAATATATTTCCCTTATCCCAGAAACTCCATTCTTCAAATTCTCTAGATACGAAATCCCATATGATTGCTCGTGCAAACTATACCAGTATAAATGTGATGCACTAATAATGAAATGTACAATGTTTCATTATCTATATGTTTTGATGAGCTCTCATGCAAATACATACAAAAATATTCAAACTAACACAAACACACACACGAGACTAAAATGAACCATAATCCTACTTAATTCTTTTGCTTCAGTTTCGCGGTGAATACTTGAAATATTCATCGATCTGTTTGTAATATGCAACTATGATTGATGATTTGTCAATTAAGCGTTATCTACAACAACTATTGTATTGGATAAAACTAAAACTTCTCAACATATTTAATTAAGACATTAAGACATCGTTATCTCGTGATTATTTAAACTTATTAACGTTTATCACAATGAAAAAAAATAAACAACCATACTCTTTCAATGTATTTGCAAGTTAGCAATTGTTGTTTAGAGACAGACGTGTTCAGGATACATATTCGACAGCAAGCGGAATAACCTCTACACCTCTAACATCCCCTAACCTTGGTAATAATATCTTGTGTATAATATCTTGTGTACATGAACATAATCTAGTTTGGACTAATAATAAGAAAGGGATGAGATAAAGACCAAAATAAAAGATAAAATATTCATAAATGAATGATACACGCCATTAAAACTAAAACAACAACATATAAAAGATAAATGATAAAAGATAAAAGATAAAGATAAGGATGAAGATAAAGATGATAATGATTTTTTTTTTAAAGCCAAAGATACATGTATACACAGATACAACAAAAGATAAAGATAAAGATTGCTACATACTGTAAGCTGCATAATTGTATGCAATATAAAACTGCAAATTGACATCAAATACAGCACCGACATCGATTTTGGTAACCCTTGTGATACATGCTATTGTTTTCACTCAAATAATTTGATTTAGAATACATGGCAATTTACCTGATAGGGTGGTATAATAATCACGATTATAGTGAAATACAAATCTTCAAATGGACGCCTTGGCATTTTAGAGGACGTCAAAATGCATGGAGTAGATACAGTTTAGGGGACGTCACAATGCATGGAGTAGATACAGTTTAGAGGACGTCACAATGCATGGAGTAGATACAGTTTAGAGGACGTCACAATGCATGGAGTAGATACAGTTTAGAGGACGTCACAATGCATGGAGTAGATACAGTTTAGAGGACGTCACAATGCATAGAGTAGATACAGTTTAGAGGACGTCAAAATGCATGGAGGAGAAACAGTTTAGAGGACGTCACAATGCATGGAGTAGATACAGTTTAGAGGACGTCACAATGCATGGAGTAGATACAGTTTAGAGGACGTCAAAATACATGGAGGAGATACAGTTTAGAGGACGTCACAATGCATGGAGTAGATACAGTTTAGAGGACGTCACAATGCATGGAGTAGATACAGTTTAGAGGACGTCGAAATGCATGGAGTAGATACAGTTTAGAGGACGTCACAATGCATGGAGTATAAAGATACAGTTTAGAGGACGTCAACATGCATGGAGTAGATACAGTTTAGAGGACGTCACAATGCATGGAGTAGATACAGTTTAGAGGACGTCAAAATGCATGGAGTAGATACAGTTTAGAGGACGTCAAAATGCATGGAGTAGATATAGTTTAGAGGACGTCAAAATGCATGGAGTAGATACAGTTTAGAGGACGTCAAAAATGCATGGAGTAGATACAGTTTAGAGGACGTCACAATGCATGGAGTAGATACAGTTTAGAGGACGTCAAAATGCATGGAGTAGATACAGTTTAGAGGACGTCAACATGCATGGAGGAGATACAGTTTAGAGGACGTCAAAATACATGAGTAGATACAGTTTAGCCCGAGTATTAACTGTGACAATTTTGATGCGGGACTTGAAAACAGGATATTAGAATGTTTATTAGACACCCTAAGAACCTCTAACACTCGTAAAAAGGGGACAGGTTTTCAAGACCCCCATGAATCCCGGATCTGCCACACGAAAAGCATAGTCTGACGGGCTCTTTCTCAGGACAACCGTCAGCATCACGGGTGCTTACTGGTCACCAAGATCACAGGAGAGAAATATTTGCTGGCTTCGAACCCCGCCCCCCACCCCCCCCCCCCCACTCAGTGTTATTTAGGGTACGCATATGCTCGTTCCCTCTTTTTGAAAGCACCCCCTATCTGAGGACTGCCAACATTTCCGAACCCTTTCGCGGGCTTTTCGCGGGATTTTCCTGCCTTGGAGACCCCCCTAAATTCGGAATAACTTCTCAGGAGTCCAAAGAGAAGAGAGAAAAAAAAGGAAAAACATTCCTTTTTAAAGAAATCTCCGGGTGAAAAGTCAAATACACCCCCTTTTTTACAATTCTCGGGCCGGACTTTGTCGCACGAAAAGTACCCCTTTACCGGACATTTTGGCAACACGCATGCGGTCATTCCGACCCCTGAGTGGGGGCCGGGCCTCGAACTAGTCACGACAAATTAGCGATAACAATCATAAACAGATAGACATTCTTTGAGAATAGGTATAAGTCTTTCCGTATGATTTCTTTCCATATCGAAAGAAATATACACCGCTGAACCCATAAGAGAGAACTAAATTCCCCTGCCAATGAGAGACAGGAAACATTTCCTGAAAGTGGTTTCAAACCGGTACAACGAAAAGTAGACGAAAGAAGTAGACCTGATTGACAGGGTATGGTTTGCAGAGGACACGAGGTTTAATTCTATAGAAAAGAACGACAATCTTTCAACATAAGACAGCGCATCACAGGGAAAGCATAATAATAGAGGGAATATATCTATGGTAGATCATGCTTCGACAGTCGCACTAGTATTCAAAAGGGGCCTCATCAGTGGTCACTCTGGAATTAATCAGATCAAGCCACTGCGAAATCAAGCCGAAATGGTCTTTTTGAAAATGTACAAATGATCAGGAGTACAGAAGGCAAGTTCCCCTGTCAAGAACTCACGAAGATGGTAGTAAGGGTGCTGAGGAACTGCAATCTTGACATTTCTTATCAAGGACCGAATCGGATGGAGTTCACGTGAGTACTGCTCTATGGAAACGAACCCCTTGGTATGATCAACCCAAGCAATGAGAACAGACCCATCCAAGCACACAGCGGGGCTCGCGTAGCTCCCGTCCTTGGTCACCCGAAATTCAATGGTGCTTTTTGTTGCATCCAGAACACCAACAGTGAAATCATTGATCATTACCAGGACTCTTCCTGAACGCAGAGTAAAGATCTGATGAGGCTCAAAGTTGTATTGAATCTTGTTCACTGGATTCCCACCCATCGCCTTGTACATCAACAACTTCTTCACCTTAGTGAAGCTGCAGAGGATGGTGTTGTCTTTCGTATCAACCTCCAGACCACCAAACCCACCTTTATCACTACTGAAACTCTGGCCAAAAGATACATCGAGATTTACGAATGACTTCGAGTACATGGAGATCTTGTTGTGGATATCCCTGACAACGACATTCCCATCTGGGAAAAATACGACTTGTCTAATGGCAACATCCTTCATGACAGTCGACTGCATGCAGCCAGTCGAAGATACCAGAACAAGTCCACCAAAGCGGGAACCTACGGCTATTCTACCATCTGGCATAGATGCCATACAGTTGATCGCATCCTTGACAGGAAAGTCAGTTGACTTCTTTAGACTCCATTCAGCTTCTTCAATCTTGCCCAGATCAAGCTCGTTTTGGCCTGCTTGTTGGCAGCGTACACGCTGAAAGGTCACCTTATGGCCTTGCTTGGTAGTATCCCTAGGCTTGCTGTAATCAGGATCACCCTTAGCAAGGATCTCTTCCAGGTCCTGGCAGAGGGTTTCATGGGCAGCAAGAGCCTCACCTTCGAGAGGTACTTTCACTCCATTCCCAACCAAAGCACCCACATCTTCAATCTGACCCATCTCTAACTTATTCTCATCTTTCATGCCCTGAAGTTCTTTATTCATTTCATTCAAACGGCTCTTACAATCCTCGACGAGAATGTCCCTCCTCTCTTTCAGTTGCTGGATCGATTCCTCGCACGTCTGGCTGATTTCGTCGGTCAGCTGCTCCTGGACGATATGCAGCTTTGCTTGTTGTTTCTCAATGAAGCTGATGTAGTCGTCCACCTTGCCTTTCTTGACATCAACCTTGTTTTGTAACTCATGGATCTTCTCCTTCTGCTGATCTTCATGTTCCATTCCCTCCAGGATGTTGTGGCCAGCCTTAGTGTGCTCCATCATACCGCATCGGAAGCAGACATACTTCTTACATTCGACGCAGAAACATTCTTCAACCTCCGACCGATGCTTCTTGCACTTTCGTCGATGTTTGGTCGTGATCTTGCCCGAGATGATGTCATCCACCTTGACCACATCGTGACCGGAGAACTTGTCCCACTTGGCGTGGGTCTTGTAGCAGTCGACGCACATGAAGTCGTCGCACTCTTGGCAGTAGGTAGCAGCTAGGGGCTTGTCCTTGCAGATGGTGCAGATCTGACTCTGGTTCTTGATATCCTCGACCATAGCCTGTATAGGAATATTGATTTGAAGGTTGCTGACATCTCTACTTGGGACAGCCGTGGACTTGCGACAGACTGGGCAGGAGATCTTAGCGCTTTCTTGCTGAGACTTGAAAAGTCGAGAAAGGCATCCCTTACAGAAGGTGTGCGAGCAGGCCAGCAGCGTTGGTTCCTTGTAGATGTTCAGGCATATGGGGCACTGAAGATTCTGTGACAGCAGGTCGTTGATTCGAGTCGCCATTCTGGTATTTCACCTGTAGAAAGAAAAGGCATGATAAACATAAAATCAACAAAGGGCTTGGCAGTACGATCCCTAATATGGCTTATTAAACGTAACGTAACGTAACCCCTCTACATTCAGAAAGTCGGATTTCTTCCTCACCCTGCGTTCAGGATACCGAAATACGATAAGTAATTAGCAATAGCTCAGTTGCTGAGTTGGTAGAGCAGTGGTCCCCTTATTACGGCGACCTGGGTTCGAAACCAAGGCGATGCGCCGGTGCCCTTTGGTAAGGCATTAAACCTGATTACCAGGTCTCTCGGAGAGGACCTAAAGCCATCGGTCCTCTGGTTGCTTACTAACAAGCATGGTTGCTTTCTTAGCAGTCAGATAAAACAACCACCACTACACACAATTTTGAGTAATCAAAATGCTTTGTTCTATGGGCAGCAAATTTTCCCCATTTTTTGTTGTTCTGTTCTCCCGCTTATCCATTCAAATCTGTAAAATATCTATCCCTGATGTGTTTTTTAGTGCTAACCTCACCCATATTATCCTTACCTAAACTATCCCATTCTAAATCTTACTTTACTATCCTATACAGCCATTCATATGAAATAGAAGCTCTTATGTACGCCCTTTAGAGTTTAGGATGTGTCTAGTGATACTTTTTTTTTTTATGGTCAGTTTTTATTCTTTTCTCTCTTGAAACAAATTATAATCATAGTACAAATTACAATCATCATATGTAACTCTCACTGCAAATGTGATGACATTATAAATCAGTATAAATTTTTGTCTTACAAACGGCTTCAAAAGAAACTTACATAGTTAGTTCCTATACATCATATTTGAAACAAAAATTCATATTTTCAAAGAAAACATATGCAGTTGTATAATCCAATTTTTTTTTGTTTTAACAATGTAGCAACTTATACTTCTTTTTATACTGTTGTCCTGAGAGAAAAGTTTTCTCTTTTTGTTAACCCTACCCTACCCGACCTCTCCCTTATCCCCATCCCCCCCCCCCCCCCCCTCTTAACCGGTGGACGACTGGCTCTGGGTTCCAATTGTTTGTCTAATACTCAGGTTTTCCCATTTAGAAAAATGAATAGTGAGAGTTCCCCTCATTGCTGCCAATTTCCTTTCTTCTACTTTATCCCCTATTATACTATTCTTTATTTCATTAAAAGAGGGTGGTTTTTTAAGTTCTCTATTTCTATAAATCAGATATTTAACAAGAATTAAAACATGATTCATTAATTGATATTTTCCTTTATTTCTCTCCTCTTTCCCATACAGAATTTCCTCCAAACTACAGTTATGTATTTCAAAGTCTAAAAATCTCGTGCACATTTCCCACACTGATTGTGCAAATTCACAAGTATAGAATAAATGTTTATATGTTTCTTCATCTTTTTCGCGAAATGAGCATAAGTTAGTCGAGACAAGACCAAAACGGAAGAGGTGATGGTTTGTATATAATATATTATGTATAAGTTTGAACTGAAACTCTCTTAATCGACTGTTAAGTGTACACTGTCTTAGTCTTAAAAATATGTTTTCTATTTCCTTACAGGAAAAAAACCATACGTACACAGTTAATCGACCGACCCCAAACAATACTACTAACATTTGCATAACTATTCATAGTTTTGTTCGGCGCTAACTCTTTGGCAAATTTTACCCAACCACTGGTTCAAGACATCCGCTGCATATTTGCCCCAGTACTTGGAGAACCTTCTTTTCTTCAATGCTTATCTTTAATTTAGCCACGTTTTACCTATTGGATGGTATCATGGCTATATGGTTCGGGATGATAACCCACAAACTGTTGAGCAAGACTTGACTAGTATTGTTTACCCAGTAAAACATTGAGCAATGTGCATATTGCTGAACAATTACCACTGATATCGACCGACCAACATTGAATATTAGGCCTTTAAAAAAAAGATGTTGTATTGCCCTTTGTGACCGACCCCCAAATCTTGAAATCTACGGTCGGCTTTAAAAAAAACGTTTTAACCGTTTTTTAGAGAAAAATATATTAAAGGATTACAAACTGAGAAATATCAGCCCAAAGAGGGAGAAGAAAACAAAAGTTTTTAATTAAAAAGAAAAAAGATTTCCGACAGACCAACCCATGTTTTGGCAATACAACATCTTTTTTGTTAGGCCTTATCTTTATCCTATATATTTAGGTAGAGCTTAACCTTGCAAAAATGTCATCTTCATCACTTGGAATTTTTGACCAACTATTATTAACCAAACATACTTTACCCAACTTGGTAAAAAGAAAAAAGAAGTATTACACTGTAAAAAAAAAAAGTTGGGCAGATGTTACTTGGCAATTTTGTCCGTTAATAATTGGATAATTTTTTCCCAACCATTTACTATATGAAGTTACCTAATGAAAGGTAAACAAAATAGGTTAGGTAGGTGTTACTTGGCAAATCAATATTGGAAAAATGCTGTCCAACAGTTGGGTTATTTTCTACCAACTATGTAGTTATCGATGAAATAATTGGGTAATTTTATTAGGCAAATCAAAGTTGGGCCATGTTTGTCCAACAGTTGGGTTATTTTCTACCAATAATAAAATATTCTATCCAACTGATTTGCTCAAATACTGTCCAATATGCTATACATCTTGGTGAGAATTGGGTGAATTTCTGGTTGGGTAAATTTTTGTTGGTTAAAATTTGGGTATTTTCTTTTTATCCAACTCAATTCAAAAGACTTTATTTCCGTTAAACAACAAACAAATATATACATGTGATAAAGTACAGACAGTTTAAAATATACAAATCATGAGCATTATGTTAAATTAATTTAAACAAACTGAATAAATAATTACACAGATATAAAAACATGGATTTATTCAACCCCTCCCTCCCTCCCCCTTCTTTCTCTCTTATGGTAATTTACAAATTATATATTTTATTTTGAAATAGGTATTAATCTAAAACAAATTAAAGGGATAATAGATATATTTTAAGATTTTTCTTGAATGAGTTTAAGTAAACATATTGTGTGAGAGAGGATGGAAGAGAATTCCATACTGTGGGCCCTGTATATCTTACCGATTGTTGCATGATACTGTTTATCAATATTCCAAATGTGTAATAATTGCCCTCATGTTGGGTAAAAATTGGGCAACTTTTGGCCTAGCACTTTTTAGAGTCTAGGCAACCCTTACCCGTCCCCACTTTAGTAGCATTGGTTCATACATACCAAATTATTAAATAATTGCCCAGGTCTCTTTAGTAGAACTTGGATAAAATAGTTTTGAAATGGGTAATTTTTATATCAACCAGTGTTTAAATTTGAACGTTGGGCTTCATTGGCGTAATGTCAATTTGTAAAGTAATTTTGGCTTACACCCAGTGAATAAAGATCCCATGCTCGACCATGTAATTAAAACATTTTTTTTTAAATGGTTGCCCAACTTAATTTTCCCAACATTTTAAGAGTGTGTAGATTGCAGGTTAAGAAGCAAGTTCACAATTGATCTCATAAGTCTAGTATTTATTTTTGACTGATAACCTACTATGTCCCATTTGCAGCCAACATCAAATTCAGTTGAACTTTGCAGGAATTATGAATATGTCACGTATGTCCTATCTGTCAAATTCAAACGTTAGTAGTGTCCTAGTATTCAAATTATGCAAGGAAACCAGTTTACTTTCTAGACTTCACTGTTAGAAACTATTGAGTGACTGACTGACTTAAATCTTTTGTTTCTTTTGTAATATAAATGAGCTGTGAATTAAGGTACATGAGCATTTTTCTTCATCAATATCCCGCTTCTTGTAATGGCCAAAATTAACACGATTGAATCTTTGCGCAGCACGAAACGTACGACCATTTGGTACAAGGGTCTGAAAATCAGACTATTACTTATTTGATTGCAACCACTAAAGTCGATTCGACAACTAATACTCGTTATTTTCCCACTAAAAGACATTTTCAAGCTCTTTCGTTTGGAGGGAAGATCTATAAATCAGTGTTATCTTTCAAATGCCAATGGAATTTAACCTTTTCATTTTGTTGGCCCTGCAAATGGGACATAGTATCTTTAATACGTCATTTTCATATTCCATATTTCACAGACAAGACAATTGAAAAATCCTAGGTTGATTTTACGAAGTAGTTGCTATATACATTTACAATAATGTCCAATATTAAAAGATAGCATGCAGTAAATATACTGGTTCACCATTTTTATCTCACACAAGTCCAATATTTTACAAACTAAACACCCTCATAGTATTCGACATAAATTCGCTACAAAGATTACTGATCATGTTTAAGTATTTAAATAATATGCTCCCTCTTACATTTTAAAACTTTTACACTATGAATAAAGCCGTTCACTATTATCCTACCCGTAATTCCTCAAATTTTCATCTAGTAAACCCGAGATTACTTCTTGCCCATACATCCATGAGACACCATGGTCCTGAACTATGGAACTCTCTCCCAGAATCTATTAAATCATGTTGCTCCCTCTACCCATTTAAGGCCAAATTTAAAACGATGTTATTATCAGAATATTCAAGGTAAAATTTCTGTGTCAACTCTTTAACTCTTCAGTTTTTTATCATAATGTCACCACTTCTTTCATTCGAATCATTATCATCATCGTCATCATCAACATCATCGTCATCATCGTCATCATCATCAACATTATCATCATCATCTTCATCATCAACATCATCATTATCATCTGCATTGTCAATATCACCATAATCAAAATTTGTATTTTCAATTACCTATCCGTTTCTGCTGAATAAATGTGTTAATCTATTTCATGAGTTTTGTCTGGGGCTGTCGTATTATCAAGCAATCTGCTTACAATAACAGTCCTTCTTCCGCAATTTTTGTTTAATGTTTGATAATGTGTGAGGAAATTTAGTATTTATGACAGTTTTTCATTTCGCTTTTGAAAATAACAATTTATATAGCCTATAATGTATTTGCTTATTTATGATTCATTGTCAGAAAAATACTTATTGTACTTTATATTATTATGGTTATCGAAAAACTTTGTACTTACATGAATGCAGAAGAAAATAAAATGAAATCAAATCAAATAAAATTACAGTAAAAGAAATTCATTTATGCCCTTTGTATAAAAAACACCACAACAACAACACTAGATATACATAGACGTAATATAATATATATTGCATGAAGATGACCCAGAGTTAATGAGGCACAAATTGAAGTACATTTGAGCCTGGCTTGAGGTATTAATGTTCCATTTGAGATTATCGTTAATGTGGTGGTGGTGATGATTGAATACAGCCCAACGTAATTTAAAGCTCATCCATTAAAGCTCATCCCCATGTTAAGATAAGATTACAAAAATCTATCCGATCGTCTCACGCTACGAAATCATGAATACCATCATAACTGATAAGCATTCCATCATAATAAACAAAATTCAACTCGTTTATTATTGGTTTTTCGAATCAATTTGTTTTTAATTTTTTTATAAAGTGTAACATGTACAGTGCCTGTAAGATAATACAGTATTAGTATTAGATTCACTTGTAATAATGCATATCGGATTGTTCTGAGATAACCGACTTACCAAAAATGGCCGTATTCTGCAGAAAGCATATGGATGTTTCAAAATGCAGGAAGCAAATGTTCCAATTATCAAAGCGTAGCTTTTTCCGAAATAAACAGTGGCAACCTACCGTCTGCAAAACATACGCATTTATGATAACATATACGATATCATGTATCTACAAGGCACAGGGTGGAGAAAATAAACAGATAAGCTGCTAAAAATAGAATACTGTGTCATGTGATTTTCATTATTATCATGACAACTGGGTTTTTCCACCGATAGCGGGTTTTCCCAATGACTGGCGTGTCGATTGTCGTAGGGGTCGGTACGCGACATTATCCGGCGAAAAGCGTATCCGGACACCTACCCCCTGGACAACAACCCCCGGATAAGCATCCCTAGGATAACCACCCTCTAGGACAGCTAACCCCTAGGGCAACCACCCTATAGGACGACTATCCCCTAGAATAGTTTTCGGGGGAATAGTTGTCCTAGAGGCTGGTTGTCATAGGGTGTAGTTATCTGGGGGGAGGGGGTAATTGTCCGCGGGGTAGTTGTCTGGGCCGGGGATGGTTGTCTTGGGGGGAAGGGTACTTGTCCTAGGGGATAGTTATCCGGGGGTATTTGTCCTAGGGGTTAGTCATCCTAGAAAGTAGTTGTCCTAGGGGTAGATGTCCTATCGGGTGGTTACCCTAGGGGTGGTTATCCGGATGGCGGTTGTCCAGGGGGTATGAGTCCAAGAACCGGCGAAAAGTGCCCCGTGGTCAAAATCCCTATTACCAATTTTTTTTTTTATATATACCTTAATTTGACCCAATAATACATCTAATCCTAACCCTACTATCCTGAGCTAAAACCTATTTTGATAAATGCACCTATCTTAATCTGATAGGTGCCCCATTTGCACAAGTTGTAATAAATGCCCCTTTCTCCTCCTTAATAAGTGCGTCATTTCAAGTGTGAGAAGTACCCATATTTTACCCCGACAAATGCCTCTTTTACTTTAATACATGCTCCTTTTACTTTCTAAGTAGTGCCTTTTCCCTTCTGAATAAGTTGCCCTCTAACTTTTTTAATAAGTGTCCCTTCCCCAATTTTTATTCAAATGCTCCCTTTTATACTCTAAGAAATGCCCCTATCAAACATTATGGTCGCCCATTTCCTATAATGAGTGTATTTATCTTTCTAAGAAGTGTCCCTTCATCTCTGATGAGTACCCCCGTTTAGGTATGAGAAATGGGTGGGGGGGGGGCGGCGGTTTTTCACCCCTTCAATACCACGTAAGCCTATTCATGATATGTGTTAAACATAGACTTACGAGGCAGTGGGGATGGGGGTGGGAGTAGCTCGAAAGTGAAATTACTGCATGATATTTTGAGAACCGTCATCGATTTGGGCAGAGAGGTGATCTATTTATGAAAACAATAACCGATATAATAATAATAGTAATAATAGTGGGTTCTTATAGAGCTCATGTCTGCCAGTTTTAAGAGTACTGCATGCATAGCCCTCCGCACTATTATTACCCCATACTCTAACATGGCTAACAATATTGGCGCTCTAGCATATATATGTATTTTGATGAAAAAACACCACCATTTCCACTATTTTCTCTTTTCCCCTTTGTTCCCTCTCTAACTGTCGAAGCAAGAAACGTTATATTTGGATTGAGTAACGTACGTTAGCCCCCCCCCCCCCCCCCCCCCTCCGTGCTCAAGATTGTGTGCTGACTATATGTGACGACGCAATGTAGATTTAAAATGCTTACATTTAAACTTTCAGAGGCGGCAGACCCGGGAAGGAGGCACAGTGCTCCCCCACTTTATAGAGTACCCCAAAGGTGCCCCTGTCTACATAGTTTAAGTGCCCCTTTTATTACAGATAAGTGACCTTTTATTTTGTAATCAGTGCCCCTTTTCATCTCTGATGAATGCCCCTTCCCCATTTCATTAATGCCCCTTCTCACATCTCTGATAAAGGACTCGATCAAAATCTAATAGGTGCCCCTTTTCTTCGACAGGTGCCCATTTTCCTTTGTAAAAAATGCCCCTATTCATCTTAAGTGAGTGTCCCTTTTCAGGTACAAGAAGTGCCTCTTACCACATCTGAAACGTGGCCCTTCGCCTCTTGTATAATTACCTCTTTGCCCTCTTTTCATTCTTGTAAGTGCCTCTTTTCATCTCCGGTGAGTGCCCTTATTCAAATTTGAGAGGTGCCCTCTTTAACTTTGAAATAAGGCCCCCTTATTCTTTCTAATAAGTGCCATTTTTCTTCTGAAAATTGCCACTTTCCTTTGTACCGGTAATAAGTGCCCCTTTTCCGTTTTCATAAGTGCCTTAATTTTCCCTTAAAATAAATGCCCCCTTTCACCATAAAATGTACTCCTAATTCAAAGCGACCAAAGTTTTTTTTTTATTTTTTAAATTTCACCCAAAAATCTCGGATTTAAATTTGATATAATTTTGTTTCTTATCAAAGGTCTTTTCATTCTTTCATGATTAGATTGTTCTTAAAACCCTATCAGGGTTGTTTTCCCTCTTTATAAGATGCAATTTGTTGCACTGCGACCTCACAAATCTTAAAATTTTTGCTCGCTTGCTTGCAAATGAATATTCAAACCACCAAACCCAACTGCAAATCATGATGCTTAAGCATTATCTTGGACCATGTAGAGAGCGAAACATATATTGGAATCATCCCTGATAAGGTAATCACAATGCAGGGGTATATACCAATTTCTAAAAATGGTATATTTCCACTTTCTCCCCCAAAAGTGCCCCTTTCTTGTTGGTCCCCCTCCCCCCCCCCCCCCCCCTGGAAAAGCGCTCCGCCGCCCCTGCAAAGGATCAACAAAAATGTAGAACAACAGACTTCAATTTCAACAACTTCAAACTTCACCTATTCTATATCGTTTTAGCTCTGATGATTCATATCAGTAATTCTAACTGTAATATTATAATCCTAGCTAGCGGTCAGAATGAACCATTCGTGTCGAGGTTCCACGAGACTCATTCAGAACTTTGGTCAATCCAAATTTAGTTTAAATTTTCTTTCATACTTTTCGGTTCATGTTAATTATAACATTTATAGTTCCCAGAAAAATTATGATTAAAAATAAGTACCCTCATCTTAAATACACGTACTTTATACGAACATCTTCCCTAATTTCCACTGCTAGGCCAACACAAATCACCACATCACCAACTCTGACAGAAATCGAAGCAAAATGTAATTTTCATTAAAATTGTCTTGAAGACTTTTATGTGATCATACCATTTTATGAATGATTGAACATATTTGAATCAGAGAAACAACAAATAAAAGTATTCACAGCAAATGTTCATCTTTGGAAAATACTAGCTGAGATACTAGCTGAAATAATGTTAATCAGTCCCAGCACTGGTACAATAAAGCAGGTACTTGAAGTCTAAGCTTGTTTCATAGAATACAAGTATATTTTTCATCGTTATAATGATGGCCTGGAGGTACTGCATATTTGAATTGTAAATTAATGTATAATTGACCAATGAAAATCAAGTGATATGATTATTTTGTTCTAAAGAAATTAAGATAGAAATATCACAGATAGCATGCCTGTTATTCAGAAAAGGAGCTTTTCAAAAATGATCTAACTTCGGAAAACACATGCTGATAAATCGACCCAAAGGATGACGGGTGAACACCATGTTATGTAATGCCTTTGAAAATTACACAACTTATGAAAATACCTATCCTTTATGGTTATTTGTATTGTGCGATATGGCCCAATGAAAATAGACAATCATTTTACTCTTGCTACATGTATGCATTTGTCATTTTTCTTAAGAACTTCTAAGAATATTTTTCTTAGTATATAAATATAGTATTGGCCTTCTAAGAACTTCTGAGAATATCATTCTTAATATAGTCTAGGCCAAATAAAGCAATGGACTTCTTTTATTACCATGCAAACATTTTCAACAGTACATTTGTTCACACATGTACATGTATACACGATTAAAGTATACCTCCTGCAATGACACATTGAGAAATGTTGAGGGGTTAAACTGATATCTGCTGAAGCCAGAAAGGCATCAATACTGTATAACACGATAAAATGCCTTCCTCACTGGCTCCGAAATTGATAAATCATTCAGGAACATTTAACATTTCTTGTGAACATGGCGAAATAATATTACATCTTTTAAAAATACATGTACTTTCAAGTCAAACAGGTAATCAACAGATACGATGACATGAGTAATTGTTTATTTCAATATAAACACAAATTCCTTGTTTACGACCCTGGATTCTTTCAGCAGAGGGAGGGAGAGAGAGAAATATTTCTTCCACAATGCATCATTGAAGAAAATCAGCCTGATATGAAATTTATCTACGTTTTCAACAATGTATGAGGGGGAGTTGGGTGTCGGGACATCTGATAATTCAACATACAAATTTCTCTTTTTCCTTCAAGTAACCAAAAATAATCATCCAATAGCAATCAATATCTTGCATATTTGTCCTTCATAATATTGTCCAACATACTGTAAGTCTTAGAAGATGTATGATATATTGCTTGTAAACTTCTTGAAATTGCTGTTTTAAAGCAACTCTCCGGATACACAACCTATCCACCAGACACATAACTATCTGTCTCTTTATGTTGTATCATGAAATGGTGATGACTTATCATAGTTCTCTGATTCTTTGATTGTATGGGTGCATGCTCCACTATAATAATTTACGAGACATGCTATCATTTCCACCCTGGTTACAGTGTACATAATAATTGGTATGTTTACTTAATACTTGGCCATTTTTATGCGACTGCACATAACAATCTGCTGTCGTTGTAATATTGTTATCATTCTATTTACCCAGATATGTCTGGTGAAGAGGACTTTGTCTTGTAAGTGTTGTTGTGCAATGAAAATCGATATAGTCGATTGGATGATGTACATTGTAGATCTACTAATTTTGTTTTGTCTGAAAGTATTATAATGTGATTCTTTTCCACTCGAAATACGTCCATAGCTATTTGTCACTTTTATGATACCATCCTGATCCAGATCTAAGATATTCTTCTTCTTCTTCTTCTGTTAATCTTCAAAGGGCTATGCAGCCTATCACGAAGATCTGTGAGTAGATGACCAGTACACAGGCACACTAAACACCAGGGTGTTTCACAAAGATTCTAAGTTGGGCTTAAACATTTTGGAGAGCCATATACATGTATGTAGCCTTAAAATGAAATATATTCAAAAGTAGAAATTGAAGTATTAAGACTTTTCATAAATTCCAAACTCTCCTTGATAATAGAAAATATGAATGATTTGAATCAACAGTTTATGCCTTTTAAAACAACTTTTATGAAATATTTTTAAAGATGTTTACGGTTTTCCATAATTATTAAGTCCAACTTAGAGATAAGTTCAACTTAGGATCTTTGTGAAACATCCCCAGGTTTATACCCATGCTCTTTGCCAGAAGTGTAGCATATTACCGTGCATAGGGTATGACTCTGCTAAATGCTATACACAGGGCCTCCAATAAATAATGTTCTCTCTGAGTAACAGAGTGTTTTCCCTGAACCCAAGCCTGCATTAAGAACAGAGGGGAGGGGGGCTTTTACACACAATGTGGCGACAGTCATTTTTAACTTGTGAAGAGGGGGTTAAATGAAAAGAAAGCTAGAATGAAATAATCTGATATTGGTACATGCCCAGTACCCTTGGTCAGGGAATATATTTTGCATTTACATTGTAATGATCATAGAAGGCACCTGGAATAAAAGTTTTGTGTAGAGAAATATTGATTTTATACATAGATCCGGAAAGTGCTAATAATTGCAATTTTAATTGAACCTTTACAATAATATGTTTATTTAATATATTTCTGATGAACATACAGTACATGTACATCAACTCAATATTTCTCTGAGACTCTCATTTTACAAAGATAATACATGTATTGTATCAAAGACAGGCTTTTGGTTTGGTTTGGTTTTTAGAAACTGGAAGAGCTACAATTTTAAACATACATGTATGCTGGTTAAAGGATATCTACAGTCATAGAATAAAACTCACACTGAGTGCTTAATAATACTCCTCTCCAAGCGCTATAGTTCTCCTTAGAACTATAAGCTAAGAAAGATAACCAACAGTCTTTTTCAAGACTACACCAACAGTCCTTTTCAGGACTACACTACACACCCTAAAGAAATATTACCGAGAGTCCTTTTCTCACTCTCTCTCACATACTGTTTATCTACATCACCATACAAGCCGATACTTACAAGCAGCATCTAATAATGATAATATAGTAATGATCTGAATTAATGATAGCACTTATATATCAAGGCTTGCCCCAACACATTATCTGGACTACAAATATATACCTGCTAAACAGTTCTCATAGAATAATTGATAAAGCTACACATGTAAGTGATGAGCAAAGAAAGGAATTGGAAGGAAATTCAGCTAGTAGTCCTGACCAAGTACCAGTCATCACACATTAGAACGTCTAGTCCCATATGTGCACTTACATGCAAGTAGTTGTGCTTTTCAGTTAATATAATTGCAGCCATGTTTTTTGGCAGAGTTTACTTACAGTTTGCTGGTTTAATAACAAGTAAAGAAACCTAAACATGCATGCTACAGTGAACAGAAATACTCTAGGCAAGATTCTCAATGTTGTGTCCAGTTTGTTATCTGAACTCAGATAATTTTTATTTGTACATTTGAACAGTTGTCTTTTAAATCAGACCAGTATTTTAACTTTCATGGTTTCATTAAATGTAGATATGTTTTGTGAATAGATATTCTTTTCTATTTATATATCCTCGATAGTTTTAAACACATGCATTTCAGCTTTTTAGCTGCAGCATGTGCATCATTGTATTCTATATATTTTTTCCTAAAATAAACCTTGAATTGGTTGATTAGCTATAAAGAAAACAGCAAGATACATTTATCTCTGTAAATGAAAATCCACAAAACATTGGAATAATCTTGATTGAAAAACAGTATTAAATGGTTCTCAACATGTTACACATACTGGACAACAAAATGCACTACTTAATTAAATAAGTTTTTATTAAGTATTTAAAAATTAAATTTTGCCTTAAAAATAGGGTGTGTTGTGTAATCTGCCATTGTGGAAAATAGAAATGCAGTTAAAGTCTTTTTTTATTTTCAACCATAAGGTTACCAGTATAGCTTCAAATCGTAGCCCAATGCTTGTGTTTTTGACAATGCATTTCACCTACATTTGCCTCTTTCAACCCAGGTGTAGTAAATGGGGTCCTTGGTTGATGCTATGATTGCCATTTCTAGAAGGCCACTTTGCTATATGGCCAGGGTAAATACCAATGTCTTTCACCCCATTGCAAATGGTAAAATTAAGTACAAGTACTAAAATTCTAGGCAAATATATATTACAAAGTAAAATTACAATTATTATTTGCTGGTCCAATGTCAAAACCTACTTGCCATAAACCATCACATCACTAGAGACAAATATGTTTTTCAAACTTCTGCTCCTAAACTGATTTGGCTCCAGAATGAAGCTGATTATGCTAAAAATTTCAATGATTTTGGATCCCAAATCAGTTTTGTTGACAACTTTTTATCTTAATTTGTGTCACACATTATAATCAGCAGTCGAATCATGCTGTGCCTGCCATTTCCATGTATGGGCAACTCAACAGCAATATTTGTTTCAAACATTTGCTCACTTGCCTACATAATTGGGCAAGCTAGTGCTCACATACATGTGGCAGTTTTACCTCTCTTTTAATATACTCAGTCTTTCTGCTCTGGTTGCTTATAGTGCTGTGGGTGGCGACGCATGTTGTGGTCAGCGATGGTTTCGCCAGTGCCGGCCCTCTGGTGGCCTCGATAGATCATGACCCCACAGCCGAACATGGTCAGGAACGCAATGAACATGTTGACATACACACGAAACTTGTTCCTCGTCGCATTCAACAGGTGCACCCTAACATATGAAAGAGAAGAAAAGGTTTGAATGAAATATGCTTATTAGCATATAAGTGTATGTGTGAGTAGAAGGGTCCTCAATACACTTGTGTTTAATTCTCATAAACACATTACAGCTATTTATTTTACAGTGTTCTATATGTTTTATCCAAGGTGAGCCTTAAAAATAGATTTTACTATAATAATCAAGGTGAAACCCAAATCATACATGTACAGTGAGTGTCCATGTACAGTATGTACAGTGTACATATATCTTAAATTAAAATACCAGTAACATCATCCAAATTAATTGAACCAGTAGTACACTATAAAATACTCTTACAGGTATGTTCTATTCAGCTTATAAAAATGTAGAATTGACAAACAGGTCCAAACGATCATTGAAAGAAAAAACTTTAGAAGCCATGAAATTCCTGGAGACAGAATGGTGATATCTTTGATTCTTGTTCTGCATTATAAACAGCATTACAAAAATAGAATGAAGCTATTATAACATTATCACCACCTCCCCCCCCCCCCCCCCTTCCCTTGTAAAGAAAAAAAACTACCGGTACCTCTAATAACAGCATTATGGCAATTGCCCTAGGACACCTACCCCCCCCCCCCCTCCCCCTTCTGAAAGAACTACTACCAAAGAGAAGTGTATACGTCACCAACTAGGGTATGGATGACATGGATTGCAGTTCAAGTCCCGACATAGCACTAGTGTCCTTTGGCAAGACATTAATCTACAGTATCTCACCCTTGTACAACAACAACAACAAAAAAACAAAAAAAAAAGATTGGCCCAGTCTTGATAAAATTACAAGCACTGTACACAGAAAGATGTATATGGGACTACGCAACACGTGCACAATATCTATCCAGTCCGGATAGATATAATAATTTACCAAATATGTATCATCACGTATTAGTCAAAACATATTCTTTTACGCACGATTGGTAATAAGAGCTTCCATTTCATTTTTTGAGAGGGGGGCGTTTCCAAAACTGGTCTTTATCTTTAACCAAAGAGATAAATTCGATTTGTCCATGAAGAAAGGGTGTGTGTGTGTGTGTGAAGGGGGGGGGGTGATTTAATTGCCTGAGAAACATTTTTTTGTTAAATGCCTCCAGCAATATTTATCAAATATAGCTTCCTGGACACAAGAATGACTACATCATGTAATGTCATTGTTTATTGTTAATCATGATACGTACGAGACCAGATCAGGCACTTCTTCTGAACTCTTGAATTTTCCAAAGGACACTAGGAGACGCTTATCAAAACCAGAAGGAGCTCTTGCACTGAAGTGTTCATGCTGTTGATTGCTGGCAACTGTGTTCAGATCATGAAAAGACAAGAAAGAAAAGAAAAGGTCAACAAACGATTATGAAACAAAATGATTTACCGGTAGTCCAATTAGAACACTGTAGAAGGGTCTATAAACAGTTAACTAATTTAATTTGAAAATTTGTATGCTAGAATTATGGAATATTCAATATTATTTGCGATATCAACATATTATTATACAAATCATACTGTACTGTAAGTACATGGACATGTTGTGGTTTCACAAAAACAGGTTGAGTACAAGAGAATTTTGTGAATAAATTTATTTATTCGCACATTTTCAAAGGTAAAAAATATCTTTCTCCTAAAGAGTCCTATGAATATCTACTTTGTGAAATAGATTTACATAACAAATATTGAGATTTCTTGGTCTGATAATCATGAACGAAAACAAACAAACAAAACAGAACAGAACAAAATAAAACAATTAAAAAAATGAAAATAAAAATCACCTTGCTGTACTTTCTCAGGGGTTTTGCTTGTTTTTCCATCCACTTCAACGACTCTGTTCGTTTTATCACATAACCACCTTCCGCCAATCTGCTGAGAAGAAAGCTCACTCCTGAGAAGAAGTTGTCTGCCAGTAGATGCACGTCCCATCTGTGTTACGACACTAGGCCTAGATCCGCTTGAATTGACGAGGCTTTTACTGGGTGATGTTGCCATTTTCCTGAGGCCGAGGCTGAACGTTTTTATGTTTTGGTTGGACATGTTGATCCCTCTATGAAACAGTGTCATGACTGCTCTGCTGCCTATTTGACCGACTTGCATCCTGATCCGATTGCTACTCAACTCTTCTTTGATCTCAACGAAATTTCTTGTGAAAACAGGCTGGTTGATAATCTTGGGCAAATTGGAATACTTCTCAACTCAATTTGTGAAAGTAATAATTGACTTCCGTGAAGACTGCTAGCCTATAGAGTAACTGATAAGTAGTAATGTCTTTCAAAAGCTGGGAGAAGGCCTAGAGTTTGACTGAAATATGAGCTTGCGCTCGTCGTCTGCTGACGAATTGGAAATTCAATTTCAAAGATGAAGTTGGATACAATTTGGATCGTTTATACTTTGAAATTTCACCTTCAAAACTAACCTGATCGTGTGTGTACACCACTAAAGCCCAAATCTGTGACTGATTTAAAACATTAAATCATTAAATGATTTGTCAAAAATGTAGTGGGCATAAAACGATTCGATGCTCATTTTTGCACGTAGTCCCAAGGTCGTAATCGTATAATCCAAGGGTATGGAATACAGGTTTGCTAATTTCGTGATAAGTATAAATAAAGGTTCATATATTAATTAATTATTCTAAAATATGTAATAAAAAATAAAAACCATACAGTTATATAAATATTAATATTACTGATGAAAATAAAATATTTTGATAGTGAATATCTTTATTTTATTGCTTAATAAAATAAAAATTATATTTAAAATCTCAAGTGTTCTTGGAGAATAAAGATGGCAGCGCACGGTGGGCGACTTTTCCGAGTTTTCGGTGGAAAGTTATTGCGAATATCACACCATAGTCGTGCCTTGCAGGTTAGTATTGGTGAATATTTTCGAAAAATATCAAATGTATAATTGTATATGTTGTGTTAAGTATGGAACATTTATCACGAAATCGAGTGAAACTTAGAATAGACTCACTAGAGTGCTCCATGGCCAACGTCAGTGGTAGTTGCAGCGGTCATGCAAGACGCACCACCCCAGCCCATGCCCAGTGGGTACGGCCTATTTTACGGGGAGTGAATCGAAAGCTAACTCGTGCATATCATATCGGGATGAGCGCAGCTCGCTCGCTCGCTCGCGAAGCTCTGACTGAAGTGTCAATCCAAACTAAGTAAAGACTAGTAAAGTAGAGTCTACATGCCACCGTCTGGTGAATTCTCGTACTGATGTGGGATTAGGTGCTGTGTCAGTGTGTGCAGATGTACGTAGATCTAAATCTAGATTGAAAATTTCTGTCTGTTTCGTTCACTAGACGGTTAGCCTCTTATTTGGGTAGGGTCACCTCCTTTTTCTAGAGACAGAAGCTGACCATAGGGTCTCCTGTGCAAACTTTGTGGCCAGATCCTGCCACAAAACTGTGCCCTAATAAGGCCTAAATCTACTCAATTTTAGCGGATGCATAGATCTATCCAAAGCACTTATGCTCCAATATTATCAGTTGGGGTAGGCAAATTCATGCAAAAAAATATATTCAAAAAATTGACTTGAAAACACATCAGACAATTAGTCTGAACCGAGTCAGGAGCAGATTTGAAGAAATTATATTTTTAAATGTTGTAAAACCAAAGATATAAGAAGAAAACTGACCAAGTATCTGTACTAAAAATCGTACATGTAAAATTGGTCGTACACATTCGACAGCTCTAAATGACGCGCACGGTTGCGTTACGTGCGTTCTCGAATCCAAAATCATACCTCACACACACACTCTCAACATACCGCGAATGGTCCGTCGTGGGGAGCTAGCCGGCTGAGAGTTTGCAGTGATACCAACGCAGCTTCGGAGCTCCGCAGCGCGCCATTTTAGCGGGACTCGGAAAGGTTCGCGGTGGGAAGGCAGCGGCCTAGCTTTTTGCCCAAACAACGCTAGATCGGCTGCTGGCAAAATGAAAATAACTACGATCGAGAACATCGTCGGTTTCTTAACTTTTCAGTGAGATAATTCTGAATTCTAATTGAGACTATATAATAAATTAAATCGACAAAGAAACCTCGGTAGAACTCTTATAACTTTACAAAAGCTTGTTTATTTCTTCCTTTGACATTTTGTTTTTGACCATTTTTTCGTGCGCGAGTCAATGCAAACTATGTATTACCAAACTTTCAACACGCAAGGAACGGGGAACACTCGCGGACCTCGTATCAAATTCGTTGCAAAAAAAAAAATCAAGGGTGATTTTGAAGCAATGCGCAGAAATATACTTGAAAGAAACTTAAAACTTAAAACTTAAAAAATCGTACCTGAATTTTCAGAAAATCGTATTTGTATTAGTGTACCTAGATGTGAATTGTTTATAATTCAGATTTTATGAAGATTTGCCGGGAAAAAATGTCAATTTTTTCCGTTTGGTGGTCATTTCTAGGCTAATATTTTAAAAGTTACTTCAGTAATGGTCCCGATGTTTCTCTTATCATACTCGCATGTTATTCTTACATAGATTAAACATAGGATGGTTAAGGGTAAGACCGGATAACATTATAAAAAAGATATATCCTTCCAACCTCCCATATCCAAGTTTTGGGCTGATTATTGCCGACCCACCGCAGCAAGGCCATTCAGATTTTCGTACGCGACCGAAGCGCCCTCTAGTGCCCCATGAATGTGCCTAGTTGGGGCGCTGGTCCGAGAATAAGGAGAATAAGGACCGATGCGTCCTCAAAAATAAGGACCGTCTGCATTTTCGCAGATGTTTCATATTTTTGATCGGTGCATTGGCAATGCAAAAAACGGATTCTGCAATAATTTTCTTGATGCATTTTACATTGACTTTGTACAGAAACCTTCACATTATGAGCAATAAATCCTTGGGAAGACAGACAACCCATAAAAGTAGACGGTGAACTAGGGTTATTTTCCCCCGAAGAATCCATTTTGGCATCGCCAGCAGCAGGCCGTTCTGTAACATGAAACCCCCAAAGCGCCGATGAAAAAAAACGTCCTCGAAAATGCAGACAACCCTTATTTTTGAGGACACATTTTGTCTGCGTTTATGAGGATATCCTTGATCCATTCTAGGACCAGTGCCCCTACTGATCATAGAATCTAGGCCTAGAGCTAAACTACATTGTTTCCACTAATAACAGGAATTTGCTCGTCAAAATTTAGCTCTGTATTGAAATTCTTGCACTTTGCAGCTATATTTTAAACTAGTGTTACTATCATTGGACGCAGGGCTGTCAACCCTCCAGCATTTGGAGGGAGTCTCGCTCCACCACGCTCATTCTCCCACCGTCCCACCAGCTCGTAGTGGGAGACTCCCGCCACCACGCCCTCCCTCCCGCTCTCCTGCAATCTCGCGGTTTATGAAAAAACCTCCCCCCAGACGTGTACAAAGAACCGGTGACAGCGTACTCGTATCATATGGGGGGGGGGGGGGGTAGTGAGTACTTTGATTTTAAAAAAAAAATTCCTACTCAACACCCCCCCCCCCCCTTCCTTGTTGAGCCAAAAAATTGCATACCATCTCCCTCGAAGCAGTTCCCCAAAAGTTGACAGCCCTGTTGACGTCATCTTTCTTTATGCGCAGTAACCGTTTAAAATAGGGGGAGGGGTGATATTTTGTAGCAAAGTACATATATGTGAAAAGACTTTGACGATTGTAATTAAGTTCAATCTTACCTACATGTAGACTCATTCAATACATCAGTACATGTACAGTATAATTGTTTTGTTTTTAATACTAGTACATTAGTAGATGTTCCCCATTGCTCCACATGGCTATGGGTCTCTGAGTGTTGTAACAGTTAAACCATGTTCTGTTGTTGTCTCTTCGTCATTAAAATATAGGTTATAGACACCCAACAATGGAAGTTCTTCTCCACAGATGTCCAGTCGAAGAAAGAGAAGAAACAGAAAGATTCTGTAGCTGCCGTGATTGCTGCTGCCCAAGACAGAAGAACAGCTTATGGTAAGAGTAGATTTGCTTCTTCAAACCGCTGTAGAACATCAGGGCTTAAATTAATCCAAGGCCACCAAGGCCATGGCCGTGGATGCCCTTTTGATCGGCCTCAATGCCCCTCTCATTGGCCTTGGAGAGTTTTGTGCCCTTTCCAATTCTTCCTATTTGTGCTGTAATATAAAAATGTGCCCTACAGAAAAGTGGCCTTGCCCTAAAAATGTTGAAATTTAAGGCCTGAGAACATACTGTACTTACTTAAAGTTACTTACTTAGGTGGACTTCTTGATGCAGGTTGAGATGCCTATGTCCAGATTAAGCCTAGTCCAGATCCTGGGTAATTGCTTGTACTCCAGCAGTATGGGTGCGATCTGGGGAAGCTGCTTTGTAAATATTGTACTTAAATTCAGCATTTTGCCAAAACTTATCCAGCCTTTTTTTTAAACTGAAAAACAGTATCAGCCTCCACAAATTGGTTTGGAAGGCTGTTCTACAAATTATTCTGGTAGAGAAGACGTTACTCTGAATACTTTTGTCTGCTCTGTGCTTCAAATCTGTGTTCCCCTAGTACTAGTGGTACTGAGCTCAAAGAGAGACTTAGAGTTAGAGAGGAGTTGCAAATAGAGCAGCTTGAAAGTCTCAATCATATCGCCAAGAGCTTGCCTATATCTTAAAGATAAACTTGACTTCTGGTAAAAAAAGAAAATGAATTCTCACAGAATCAAACAAAACTTACACTGATTGTTCAAGAGTACAAATAAATGTTATTTGCGAAACAATTTTGGTAGAAAATGTATACTGGCTGAGTAATGAGCATAGAAAGATAAGGAAATCAAGGTTAGTAGCCCCGACATTTTTTATTTAGTCCCATATACATTTTTCTGTGTACAGTGCTTATTACTTTACTAAGACTGGGTCAAATTTATTATGATTTTGATGACTCCAGAACCTTGCAGTACACACCAATACTTACATTCTACACGATCAACTTTTTTTTGATCCATTCCACACCTTTTCTTTCACATGACCAGAACTCAACTTTATCTTTAATAGAGAGGAGTTGCATTAGAATCATATATTTTGAGCAGTTTGAAAGTCTCTATCATATCGCCTCAAGAGCTCGTCTATAACTTAAAAGCCATAGGCACCTTCAGTCTCTCGTCATAACCAAGTCGTTTGAATGAAGGTACAAACCCTAGTGGCCCTCCTCTGCACATTCTCCAAGGCATCACTTGCTTAGTTACAAGTGTATTCTTGTCAAAAGTAAATAAAAGAAACAATCTGCCCTCTTTATCAAGTTTCAAACATCAACAATAACTGTTATGCATTCACAGTTTCTTGAAGAAATCTGAATGTGTCATGACTGGCAATCTTTGAGATGAACCGCTAGGTTTAGGCTACCAATATAGGAGTTTTGTCGAGAAATGGCATATACACTGTACTCATTGATAAGGAATATATAAAGCTTGTTAGACTTGGAAGTACACACAAAATACTTAAGAAATGAAATGTTATGTGTTTTATCGTCTGATTTGTTTCAGATACGTTGATTCAACGAGAGGAATTATCTTATGAGCGAGGGCGACGTCACCTTGCCAACATGATGGGGGAGGATCCAGAGGACTTTAAACA